CAGTGAGTGAAAGTACAGCATTATGAGGCTAGCCACAGCCACTTCAGCACAAGTTCGATCCCTGGCAGAGAGGTAACCCACTTGACACAGCAGACTTCTCCTGTCTCATCCGCTACTCCCCTCAGCAGTGTACTTCCATCAGTTTGCCTGTTCTGCTCCCTACTCTGGCAAATCCTCTCACCACTCATGCACCACTAGCCTGTACCCCAGTTCTGTATGCATAAATAAATCTTTAAAAAAATAATAAATAAATCTGGGGATCAAACCATATTTTTCTTTTAGGATTCATTTTTTTGTGTCTTGGATTCCTCAAGCACAGTGGGAGATGAACAGTAAATACAAGTCTTAGAATCCAATGGGTACGAACTGGGCATCTAGGTTCAAGCCCTGGTTCTGTGCTGGCACTTATCATGTGACCTTAAGCAAATTCCTTTCCTCTTTGGGCCTTAGTTTTTGGAACTGTGAATGATTGAATTGGACCAGAATAGCTAAATCTCTTCTAGAGCTCAGCTTCTAACGAACCTGATTCTCTCAGTCCAATCCAAATGGAAGAGACACTCTGTTCTTTCCACAGTCATCTGAGTTAATTATCCATGTAATTGGCATAAGCCTAGGTTTTAATTTGACTTGGCTCACTCTTCTAGACCATGAATGAATCTTTGAGAACAGAACTCTTATAGTGCCTGGAGATGCTCTGAAAGGGTAGGATGTGGTCCCTGAACTGAATCTTTAGACTCTAAGTATATGCAAACAAACATCTGTGAAAGTAGAACATAAACAATTGTTTTCTTTTTTAACTGGTAGAAAGTAAGCAAGTGTTGCTTACTCTAGTGTGAAGCACCAGCCTACATGGGAACAAGTGAATGTGGCCCATTGCTACAGTCACAAAACAAATCTTTTCACAGGAATTTACATCTTATTTAAATACTAAATCCCACTCCCCAATCCCTCCCTCAAAAAAACAGAGAAAGTGACCTACAAATAAACATAAAATAAAACCTTAAATCTGGCAAGTCTGAAAAAGTACCCATGAAGGAAAAGGCCTGTGAGCAAAATGACTGTTTGAATAAGAATGAGGCAGAATACTTTAGCCAGGCTCCACATACAGCCTGCTGCTAAGTAAACACAAGACCAGATTCCACCATCCTGAGAGTGTCAGAGACCATCATCTGTGTCTTCAGTGCCGACTTCAGAAAGCATCTGTGACTCAAGAAGTGAGGCTAATTATAGTCATTTCTGGAAGTATTATCAGAAAGAAAGGAAAGGATGTCCTGGGCAGGTGGGACTATCTTCAGGAGGGAACTGGGAATCTTTCCTAGAACTAAGTTCCAAGGAAAAGGAGCAGAATTATTAACTAGTCGGGTCCCTCCCTGGTGGCAACAAGGGGTTAAAGTGCAGCACTGTGAAGCTATCCACATGGAGCTTTATATGGATATGAAGTTCAGTCCCTAGCCAGGCAGCTGACCCACATGGTATGGCAGACCTTTCCAGTCTCGCCCGCTGTTCCCCTCAGTAGTGTATCTCAGTACATGTGCTTGTTCTGCTCCCCACTCTGTCTCTGGTGAATTGTCTCACCCCTGCATCTCTGGCCTGTACCTCAGTTCTTGTATGCATAAATGAAATTTTTAAAAAAGGAATTATTGAGTAGTCAGAGCTAAAAGGACCTGAAAAGGTATCTAGTTCAACCTCTTATAGGAAACTAGGAAAATGCTTTGTTTAAGATCATACAACCAGGTCCAGAGCCATAATCCAGGCATCCTAATGCCTATTCCAGTACTAGGCCTCTACTCCCATATTCTTTTAAGAATGCAAGGCCTTGAATCCCATTTTCATATTAGAAATCAAGATAAAGGAAGCTCACAGTGGAAATATACTTACCTATCCCATATGTTTTATGTTTCCCTTGCTTCTGTTTAAAAATTAAACATTTAAGTCTGTTTCTTCTTAGCTTTTGTAAGATGTAGTGTCTATAGAACCTGATATGTTCTATAGCTAGACCAGCTGATGCACCAGAGTGGAAACTCCCATCTAAGTTTCCCTTCAAAGGAGACAGATTGTTCTCCGGAGACTAGTTCTAAATACAGTATTGGATATTTCCAGGAAGGACATCATTTCTAAAAATTTTCCCTGAAACCTTTTGGCCTTTGGTTTTATTTATTTTGTAGGAAAGCCTAGTACTCTCAAAAAGTCTTGGGTTTTCAGTCCACATTTAGATATATATGACTGTCTTGCTTGCTTCAAATTACCATGGAGAAGAAGAGTGTAATATTCCAGTTCATGCTACATGTCTCCCACTCCTCCATTGTCCTAGTCCAATGTAGATATGAGAAATTTCCAAGATATTGGTTTGGCCACCTGTGCGCGCTTATTTATTTATCTCGCCGTTGACACCAACCTATATCTACAGACCACCAAATCCATAAGGACTCCTTATTAATGTCCCTGAAAAATGTTCCAATTAATAGATACCTATTTTTTTTTAAAGATTTATTTATTTGTACATACAGAACTGGGGTACAGGCCAGAGGCTCAGGGGCGGTGAGAGGCTTCACCAGAGACAGAGTGGGGAGCAGAATAGGCAGATCGATGAAGTACACTGCTGAGGGGAGCAGCGGGCAAGACAGGAGAGGTCTGCCACGCCATGTGGTCTCCTCCGGAGCAGGCGGGATTTGAACTCATGCGGAAGTGGCTTCAGCTTCTCAGTGCAGTGCTTTAACCCGTTGCGCCACCAGGGAGGGCCAAATAGATACCTATTTTTAATCTCACATCCATTTGACGTCTCTGGTTCAGTGCTCAGAACCTATCAAGAAATATATAATAGAAACACCTAGTTAGGCTTAACTAGCTACCTTTTTTCCTTCCGTGCTGAAGAATTAAGCAATTTACTGTAATATGGTTTGATAAAAGACGGTAAGGACTGATAAAAGAAAAAAAAATGAAACAACTCTAATGAATAAATGAATATTAGATCCAGCCAACATACCTTGAAAATCTTCCAGAAAAACTCCTAACAGTTCCATATATATAGCATATATAAGTGCAAAGGATGTGGAGGCAAAATTTTACAACTTTTTTTCTGATCCAAAGCAGTAAAATTCACACACAAACGCACTTGTTTAAATCAATTTCTTGTGTTCATTTATCTTTCTAGTCAGGGCTTGCTCTAGGATTGGCAGCTATATGTTTCCAGAGGAAAGATATTGTAGAATAATTTGAGGCCTATATGTGTGAAGAACAGGAGGGTGAGGGTGTTGCATTTCATGTGGAAGGCCTCACCTCAACTGAGCAACAGAAACTTCCAGACTTCAGAAGGAAGAGATAACAGTGGCTGTGCTTATTATAGGAAGCCGGAGACAACAACCAGTTCTGCTGGAGGAACCTCTTTTCCTGCATCAACCTCCTGAGACTACTCAATAAACTAACCAAATGGAAGCATTCTAGAACCATGGTGAGTTGGGTCTTAGATCATGGAAGTGAACAGCTGACTGAATTGTTTTCATTAGTAAGTATTTGTGGACTTTCTGCTTGCCGTACACTATAGAAAGATACTGAGTGCTACATAAAACTGAGTACCTCCTAATTCTGGGCACCAGCACATTTCTTTTCAAGGTGATGGAAATAGACCCTACCACAGAGCAGCCCCAGTAAAGAAGTTCGCATTATTATTTGGATTATTGTCATGCATCCCAAATGATGCAAGTCTAAGGTTATTTATTGCTTTGAATGACTTTCAGGGTTAGGTTTGTAGTCATGAAAGATTGGCAGTAACCTACCACTCACTGCTATGGGACCAACTGGTTAAATATATCCTCATAAAAGGATAGTAAACAGCCATTAAGAAGAATGAGGCAGTTAGGTTTTATACTGATACAGAATGGTTTTCAAAATATATTTTTAGATAAAAAGCAAAGTATGAAACAATGTGACAGCATATGTAGTTGGCTATCATTTGTATTAAAAACTATAAGTTATATATGCGTGCACAGAATTGTTCCAGAATCATTTCTTACAAGAAATTCTAAGTGTGAAAGTGGATGTGTGTCTGCCAAGATTTCTTTGCACTTTGAAAATTACAAATTTACAGTTGTGAAATATAAATCAAGTGATTTCTCTATGTTCTTGAAGACTAGATCTAAGTGGAATCTGGACCATAAAGTTCCAAAAATTCCTTGGGGGGATTCTGAAGCTATCCAGGTTTGGCTAATTTGTCTGTGAGTTGGAAATTTTAGAACTTTATCTCCCTTTCCTCATTCCAACCCGTTTCAATGAGCAGATGTTGGTGGTGTTTAAATCAGCTCCGATCTTAAAGCGGGCCCTCAAGGTCAAACAGGCAATGCTACAACTTTATGTCCTGAAACTACTAAAGATACAGACCAAGTACCTGGGACGGCAGTGGAGGAAAAGCAACATGAAAACCATGTCGGCCATTTACCAGAAAGTGCGCCACCGTATGAATGATGACTGGGCTTACGGGAATGGTAAGTATTCGCAAGAACTTTTGACATTCATGAGTTTCCTGAATTTTAAACAAAACTAAACATTTATCTCTATTCTCTTGTTATGAATTGTTATATACTTTAGATGAAAAAGCGATTATAGGTCAGATGCTGCCCTAAATTCCAGCCTGTACCCTACCCTGTGTAAACTACAAAATTCATTTTACAAAACAGGTAAAGTGAAGAATAATGATCCCCTTTCCAAACATCCCTTTAAATAACAGATTTCTTGGGGCCCCTCTGGTGTTGCAAGGGGTTAAGTCTCAGCACTGTGAAGCTATCTGCAGCCACTGCAGCATGAGTTCGATCCCCAGCCAGGGAGGTGACCCACAGGGCACAGCAGATCTCTCCTGTATGATCTGCTGCTCCCCTCAGCAGTGTACTTCAGTAGATCTGCGTATTCTGCTCCCCACTCTGTCACTGGAGAATCCTCTCATCCCCTGCACCTCTGGCCTACACCCCAGTTCTTATATACATAAATTTTAAAAATCTTAATAAATAAATAGCAGGTTTCTCTGAGAGAGAAATATCCTTTTATTATTGCAAAACAATTAGAAAATACCAGTAAGCCAACATTTTACTATATTATTCTCCTTATACCATATTTGTACCACTCAAAGTCTACCCTGTTAACACCTTATTGTATTTTCTTCCTGATCTCTACATATGCATATGTTTTATTATAATGACAGGAAATTGTATGTGCTATTTCATAATCTCTTTTCAGTTAACATTATCTTCACCTTTTCATGACAGTATGTTTTCATTTTTCTAATAATTAAGTCCATTTCAGAAATCCTTAGTTGCTCCAAAATGTTCTTTAAAGTTATTTTTTCCCAGTCATAATCCAATTCAGGACCCAAATTGCATCTGGTTGCTATATCCTTTTGTTTGTTTTGAATCCAGCACAGTCTTTCACACCCTACCTCACCCCCAACACTGTCTAATTAAAGAACTAGCTGTTTGACAGAATATCCACCTTCTGGAGTTGCTTGCTTCTTTGTGTTGTCACTTACCTTTACCTTACTTCCTTATTAATAATACTACCTGAAAACTGAAAGTTTGATTGAAAGGTGTGAAGAAATCAATTTAAACCATTTGGATACAATATATTCTAGGTAATGTTGGGAACCATCTTTTGACTCATCCGGAGACTTATGATTGATCTTATACTAAATTGACCAGAGTTTGGAAGAATTTGACCATTATTTATATAATTGCATTTAAGAGTTTCTTGTAAAATGACTTACAACTTGTCTTTTCTGGGCTTTATAACCTACTGACTTTTAGAGGATGCTGCAAATAAGAGACAGATAACTAAGAGAAGCCTATGGTAGATAAGCCAGGATGAAACTTCTACTGAGAGATAACGTGCAATTAACTATTTAAATTCTTACATGTTTTTTAAATATGAGAATGTTTTACCCTACAAATGACACATTTGTCATCAGGAACCCAAACTATACCTATGATAATCATTGAGTATAGGACATAATAGATCTGGGAAATATGTATTTAAGGCCTGAACTAAGTATCTAAGTAAATAAATAGAAGCAAAACAGATTATTTGTCATGTTTTTACCTCCACAGCAGCCTTCACCTCGTAATCTTAACATAGTTTAAAACATAGACGTTATGTGCTGGGGGATTTCTCAGGGAATTAGAAAGTCTTCAGTACATTAGTCCATTCTGATTCTCCTTAGTGGATTCCTTCCTGCCGCTTCCCTTTCCCTGAGAGATGGTGATTCCATTCAAATGGAAACTTTCATCAATAAAGCAAATTGAGTTTTCCTTTTAGAAAATACAGTACTTGTAAACAGTAAATAGTAGAACTATATTGAGAAGAAAATGCAATAAAATCAGTCCCCCTCACTAGTGCCCTCATTTCCTCCTTGGAGATAATCTCTTTTACCAATTTCTAGACTATCCTTCCAAAGTCGGCGTCTGCGTATACAAGTGCACATACGTGGGTGGGCACATGTATGTTTTTGAAACCTGAATGGCAGCTTATTGTATACTTGCTCTGTACAATACTTTGCTCTATACAAAAAAAGGAATGTTGAGTATGTTCTATGGTAAGAGGAGCAGTGCCCTGAGTTATATATGCATTCTTCTTCTCCTTTTATACAGACATCGATGCCAGGCCGTGGGATTTCCAAGCAGAAGAATGCACCTTGAGAGCCAACATCGAGGCTTTCAACAACCGCCGGTATGACAGACCCCAGGACTCTGAATTTGCACCGGTAGATAACTGCTTGCAGAGTGTGCTAGGGCAGAGGTTGGATCTGCCTGAGGACTTCCACTATTCGTATGAGCTCTGGCTAGAAAGGGAAGTATTTTCACAGCCCATCTGTTGGGAGGAGCTTCTCCAGAATCACTGACTGAACTCCTGTTAACCAAACATCCGCTAGACGGGGGTTGGCTCCAATAAATGGTGCTCTGCCTGTTCTGCCCTTTCAGCCTTTGTTTCCGAGTGCCTGTCCAGGACAGAGTGGGCCCAACCCCAGAAACATGAACATGAACTTCGGGGCCATTCTGGAGGCTCTTGGGCCTGGAGATAGTGTAAGCCTAGGATCTTGAGTCACAACATATTTATCAGTTTGCCCTGGGGTCAGTTTGGTATCCAGTTGGCCTTGGAAATCTGTTGTATCTATCTTGGACTTAGCTTGTGTAGGACCACTTCTTGCTTTTGTCTTGTCTAGAATCTATGCTGACCCCAAGAGTGAGAATAAGTTTATCATGGCATTTGATCCATGGCATTAATCATGGGTGGTGTGGGTCATAAAATAGACCTCATGCTGTCCCTGGATTCCTAGAACTTATCAGGGTTTGGCAACCAACTTGGAAATTAAGTCTGTACTTTAAATTCAAAATTTTGACACTTAGCCTCTTTCTATAATCACATAGAGCACCTGTGAAGGGTGATGATTACTGTTACCTGAATACTGCATGTTAGAGAAAGGCAAACTGTGTCAAGTGTTTTTTCTTTATTCCCCACGAGATCTTGGTTCAATGCGAAAATGACTTCCTTGTGTACTCTGTGCAGGCATGGAGGATTCTGCCACAACAAATATGGAGCAGTCAAGCCTCCTCTAAGGATATGTCATGTTTTTCTGAAACTATTTCAGTCTTAAAACGACTCAGTGCGCTACAGAAAATTATCCTTTTCACTCAATTCATTTTTTAAATGACAAGTTAACTACCGGAGGTTTTGTTTCTTGAGATGGCATTTGTGCTCATGATCAACTCATTTTGTAATTGAATAGAACACCAAGAGCATCACAGCTTACCATTTTTCTTCTCTTGTGTTGACTAATGATTTTTTTCCTTTTTACTACTAATGGTTTCAGAGTGTCATGTGGCGCTTTAGCAACCACTGTTTCCACCTAAAAGTACTGAAAACAAAAGCCCCGAAGTACCAACCGCTAAACTCTTTTACAGTAGGATCATGTACTTTCCCACAGAAACAAGGTTTTTAGAAGTTTGTCTTCTGGCCCCACAGTTATGGCATCTATGTTTTTTAGTAGCCCTACCCCCCCTGCCACAGAATCTTTAATTATTACCAGAGGTCTCATCAAAATTGGCTTATTTATTCTGTCCTTTGTCAGCCAGTCTCATCTGGAATCATTATAGAGTCACTAAAATATCCACAGGAACTATACCACAGCTCTAATATGTAAAGCGTGGACTTCACCTCTGTGATTTCAGGTAGGAGGATTTCTGTCTTGATGGAAAGAAAGGTCATGAAGAGTGTGTGTATATAGTAGATAAAACTTGTTAAAATATTTTGTAGATTTTACCTGAGTAGAAAATTAGTCCTTGTTACAAGCAAAGTAATTTGCCGAGCAGATCACCTGTAAGCCCTATTTATCTATAATTTTAATGTAAATGAAAAGACAGTTTTCAAGGGATAAGCAATCATCAGTTTATTTATCTTAAAGTCATGTAATATTTGTGTCAAGAATAAGTAAACTATTGCAAATATGCACATGAGTGCTTTCTATGGCATGGAAGTATGATATGCTTAATATTCATATCACTTATAACTCTTCTCTAAGGGAAGGTTAATTTTTAATGCACATAGAGAAACAAAGCCTCTAGGGCAAGTGATTAGTTTCCAGTCACCTCATTTTTCCACCAACTTGTTGAGACTAGGATTCGGTTATTGACAGCCAACCCCATATGTTAATTGGTTTAACTCTCCCAACTTGAAAACCACAGTGTGTGGTTAGGAATAAAAGCTCAACCAACCTCCAATTGTGGTTATTGTTACTACACAGAACATTATTTGAGTGACTCATAAAGTAGATGTATTTTATTTGTGGATGTTTTAGTAAAGTTTGCATTGGTTGTTAACTATTTACTGAAGCACTTTAATAAAAAGAAAAGTAAACTGGAACTAGAAGTTTGGTCTTTAAATTCTTCACAAGAGAATTTTAAATATCTCAGGTATGAGAAGAAAGGCTACAATTAAAGAGGATGAGTACTCCTGTGCTAGTATTCTGGGAGTAGACTAATACAAACAACTGTAAAATCTCTGTGACTTATTTACATAACTTTCTTGTTATTGGGTATGGAGATCAACTTACAGCTCTACCTGACACGGCTGAGTGGCTCCGCTTCTATGACCCATCCTGAGTCTAGGCTGGGGAATAGGACCTACCTGGAACATATTGTTCTCATACTGAAGGACATGAGCCAGAGACCAAGCCATACTCTACTTGGTTATGACATCAGCTCATATTTCAAAAGCAGTTCACTCCAAACAAGCCTAACACTGGGCAAGAGAAGCACATTCTACCTACAGGGAGACATAAAGGTAGACAGTGAGTTACAACAGCTTCCCAGTACAATATGATCTTCAGGCTGGTTGGTGGTGGAACTATCTTAGAAATTCTTGAGAATTTCAGCAGCATTCTAGTTAACCTTTGAAATCACTCGTTTCAGTGCTTTATAGTGATATTGTCAATTGAGGCATTGACTGTCCTTGTCCACAGTTCCTATAGATGAGTGTTTTAATGGTTTCTATTTCTCCTCCCAGGTAGTTGTGGTGAGTTTTAATTCTTTCCTTAGTCCTTCTTGAAATGAACCATATTTACAATAATAGTTGCTGAGATTAAAGAATGGAGCTGTGATTTTGAACAAAAATCATGCTGTTGATAAAACAATTGAACTTGTGACATTGATGGCATCTACACTGTAAGTGATGAGCTAAGTAGCCATCTATCATCTAAGCTGGGTCAAATATGAACTTCACCTCCTTTGGTCCTCAGGTAAGCGAGGGGCCAAGTATGTGGTTTGCAGATGCTAAGAAAGTCTTGCCATTATCTAAGAAATACTTGCACACTGTCAATTAACATTTCTATTTAGAATAGAGTTCCAAGTCAGACTTTTTTGTATACCTTGCGATGTTTTCTATAATAAAAAAAAGTTTTACAAAGAATGATAGATTTTAGCTATAAATTACATTTGTGAAATCCCCAGTAGTATGTTCCATAGTTGCTGGTACTGGTTTTTACATGTATTTAATATGATTACAGATTTTATATGATGCTTTTCAACATGAAAGATGTCAAAATACATTTCAGAGTTAATATGGCTAAAGCATGATTTTGATTATCTAACCATTAAATATAACCTTTGTCTGCCTCTGGGCCTCCTCCTGCTTTTTAATTTTTCCTCAACCGAAAAAAAAATTATAGAGATAGTGAAGAGAATAATTTACCTCCTTTGTAATCACACCCCTCAACACTAAGCTATTTATCTGGTAGCAGATTTAACAATATAAGGAAGCAGGTAACCTTTAAAATATGATAGAAGAAAGAAAAAGCAAAGCTCTTGCCTATATTGACAAGCCATTGTAACAATATGCAAATGCTTTTGGATATATTGGCTTAAGTAAATCCTAACTGATGAATTTTGGAAAACACAAGTTATTTTACTTATTTTTCCACTAGTAAATTTTTCAGTAGCCCCTGGCATTCTGTCTGAATTCCTGTCTGAAAAATTCATAAAAGGTAAGTTCTGAAAGCTTTAAAACTTCAAACACCTTTCCTCGGTGACTGCATATTCAGAATGTTTGGTTTACCAATATTATTCTTAAAACTTTAACCCTCAATATTTGTAAGCAAGTTTTCCTTGGGAATACATTCTTTTGTTAAAAGGGATCTCCATCAGTACAAGAATTCCTTTAACAGCATTCCCTAGATATTTATGTAACACAATATTTTCACTGGACTACACTACTTTATAGTATCATTAGTAACAGCCAAAATGCTACAATGGAAGTACAGTCAGCTTGTGGCATTATTTGAATAAGAACCATGAATACATGTATAGGATTCAGAAGCCTAAATTATTTGTTTCATCTTCTTCCCCACTGTATTACTTTCCTAGGATTACTGTAACAACCTACCAGAAACTGAGTGGCTTGAAACAAAAGAAATATATTCTCTGAGTTCTAGAGGCTAGAGTCTGAAATTACAGTGTGAGTACCACATCATTCCCTCCAGGCACCCTAGAAAGAATCTATTCTTTGCCCCCAAGTATTCAATTTCTGCCCCTGTAGTTACATTACTTCCTTCTCTCAAAACTCCCCCGCCTCTCTCTTACAAAGACCTGATTGTATTTAGTGTCCATTCGGTTAATCTAGTGTATGCTCTTCCTTTCAAGAGCCTTCATTTTATTCCATCTTTCACCATATCAAGTATGCAGGTTCTAAGGACAAGGACATGAACACTTTGGGGGAGGGGGAACGCCACTATTCAACTCACTAGTGTCCATCAAACACCCAGCAAATAGCAATACTGACTCATTTACTCTTCCCAGATCTCATTATCAGAGGTGTAAGACTCAGGGGAAGTTGTTTTTACTTGGAGAATGCTTGCAGTTATTGATGTAGTTAAAGGAAACTCAACAAATTGTTTAAGGCTTTGGTAGAGGATATTACATAAAGAAGCGGGTGTGAAATTCAGCAATACGTATGTTTTTTGTAAGATACAGAAAAAATTTTCAAGTTTTCGGAGTACCCAGTGATGGGTACTCTGAATAAGCTCCCTTGCTTATTCTCCAGAAGTTATCACAATCGATATTTTTTTCTATTTTTCTTTCAGAAAATTCGTAAAATACCCACCTCCTTCTTGCCAACATTTATTTAAACAGGAGCATTTTCTACTTTTATCATTTACCCTGGAGATCTATTTTTCCATGCTAATATTCTTAAATGACAGTACATTTAATAATTTAATGCATTAATTAAGTAATTCTCCCCAAAGATTGCTTTCAAATAGTTGTGTTTGGTATTTTTTTCCAGCTAGGTAGGAGGTGAAAAGAAAGGGCATAGATAGGAAGTATGGTGTGTGTGTGTGTGTGTGTGTGTGTGTGTGTCTGTGTGCGTGTGTGTGGTGGTGGTAGGCATGAGGTTATGGAACATTCTCTCAGTTCTCATAGTAATAGGTCAAAGCAATGTGAAGTATAATTTCCTACCCATAATTCAGAGCCCCAGATCCTGAAAAGGTAATGAGATTGTGCCTGGGTGTTGTATGGGAAGTGTTCAGAGTGTTTGCTCTTTTAGTAACAAGATTTAAATTTTAAAATGCAAGGATTTAAGATCCTTATTTCTATTTTATAGAAGAGAAAATATCCAAAGTCTTTCTAAGGAACTGAAAGAGTACAAAAGCCATCCCTCCTCTGTTCAAACACCTTTGGTGACAGTGACTTCTTACTAAATAAGATAGCACCATCTGTCTTCTTGCCTGAAATGGAAGTGTTACTTTGAACATTCTGGAACTTTTTGTTCAAATGCTTAATGGAGCTGGCAGGACAAAGATCCTCTATGTGGAGGCCTATGAAAATATGTTTTCTTCATAAAAAGACATGTTGTACCCAGAAGGGCTATACAGTATAGTGGCTCACACTGAGGGTGTTGGATGCAGCTTGGTAAGGCTCTGCCTCTGTCAGCTGTGTGCTATGTGACAAGTTTTCCCACCTGTAAAGTGGGGATAATAATACTTTCTGGAGTTACAGGATTAACTGAGTCAATATGTGTACAATATTTAGAATAATGTTTGCTAAGCCTGAGTCTTCAACAGTTGCTGATCATCAATATTTCTTACCTCATCTCCCTCCCTATTAAAAGACCTCCCAGCAAGCATAATAAATAGCATTTTAATTCCAAAGCTCAGGAATCCGCAAACAATAGCCCACTGGTCAAATCTAGCCCACCAGCAAATTTATATGGCTCGTGAACTACGAAAGGTTTTTTATATTAATCGGGTGGGGGGGGGGAATTCGTAGTAGAAAAATATTTTATGGCACATAAAAATTGTATGAAATTCAGATTTCTGTTGCCATTATAATTTTATTGGAACATGGCCATGTTCATTCACATTATATATAAATGCTATTGTCCAACACCAGCATTTACAAAAGAGGACATAAAACCTGCTGAATTGAAAATATTTATTATCTGAGTCCACTGATCCCTGTTCTAGATAACGTCCTCTACTGAGTCTGCTACAAATGGTCTTACTTCTCCCTGCCAAGACCCTTGTGACTGACCAGAGGAAATTACCTACAAAGGACATTTTTTTCTCTAACTTCCTTTTTAATATTGGGACTATAGTGGTGAAATGAATACAGTGCTATACTATTCAACTTAATGAGAGAAAAAGGAAAAGGAAAAAAGCAAGGAAAGCACTACCTATAAGAGTAGAAAGGAAGAAATAGGTATTTTTATATGTAACTTCTAAGAAGTATAGTGTTAGAGTAATCTAAGTTTTTATATTCATGCTTCAATTCTGTAATTTTTCCTCCCAAAGAACAGCACAGTAATTTTACGATTTTTTAAAAAAGACATAAGAATGTATTTTTCACAAATAGATAGTATTAGTGTCAGTCTGATGGGAGTTTGAATAATTATCAACATTTAATGTCA